CAAGGAGAGAGCTTAGAAGGCCTGCAGCCTGGCTGACTTCAAATGAACTCCAGTGAAAGAACCAATGAATTACATTGTTCCATTAAAATTCACAGCAGGAAAACTGGCCCCCACAGGGTATATGCCTTTTCATAAGATCAATGTCTCAAAATTAAAAGAGATCTCACAGACACAATCTGATTTTTTAACTCCAAAGTCAACCACAGAGTGTTAAGGCCTCACAGGACACAATTTAATTTTCATAATGATTGCTGTAGCCATTTTTAAAGTAATAAAGTAAGTTTATTCATTAGATATTTGTTACAGCACGAGGGAAGTACATCATTTAATTTATGAAACAATAATTTCTTAAAAATTACTATACTATCACTGTGGAATGCAAAATTATACAAATGGCTACTCTCACACTCTTTCCTGCTCTGCTCAATCAACAAGATCAACCAGTAAGGTTTCTTCAAAGATAAACAACCCTTTTGGAGAAAACAGACTTATTTCCATGGTTGGGAACACTGTGAATTCCTAAAATATCTGTCATAGCTAGTGTCACTGTCAACTTGACACACCAGGGAAGAGGGAACCTTAAATGGGGAACTGCCTTCATCAGACTGGCCACCCCTAAGCAGAGGACCCTGGTCCTATGAAAAAGGACAGCTGACCATGATCCTGAGAGAAGCCAGTCAGCAGGGCTCCTTCTGGTTCTTGACTCTGCCCCTACTGGAGTTCCTGCCCTGCCTTCCCCAATAACGGACTGTGTCAGTAAGTGTGAGGCAAATAACCCTTCCCTCCTCAAGTTGTTTCTGATCATGGTGTTTATCACAGAGACAGAAAGCAAACGAGGGCCCCTCTGGCTTTAGCTGCTGCTATGACATGTGCAAGACACTGCACTAATGTGAGCCGTACTCCGAGGAATGTGCTTTACCAGCAAAAAGTGCCTTCAGGCCACTGCAGTCGCGGAAAACCCATTGTTTCCCCCATACAGAGAGGGAAAAAATTAAAAGAGCTCTCTTAATTTTAAACCTTACTATTCTCACATTTCCCCCTCCAAACTCTAGTCTTTCTCTGCCAAGTCAACTAGACGTCAATGTGAGGAACTAAGTGGCTTAGCCGACATTTACAACTTAGTTACTCTGACACTCAGTTTCTATACAGATATGAAAAGCATTATACTAAAAGATGAAGAATTAAAATAGGTTAGGCTGGGTTGGAGAGGTGGATCTATGATTAGGAGCATGTACTACTTGCAGAGGGTCTGAGTTCTGTTCCAAGCACCCACCTCGGGTGGCTCATTACAGCCTCAAACTCCAACCCCCAGGGATCTGGGCCCCTCTTCAGGACTCCCAAGGGTACCTGCATTCACATGTGCACAAATCCACATGTATGCAGCACCCCACACACACAGACATTCAATTAAAAATAAATATTTAAAATAGGTTAGGCTGTGGTGGAACAATTACCTCAAGGAGTTACAATCCAGTTACAGATAAAATATTAAATTAAAGGATTTAATATTTAAATGGTGAAGAAGAGCAGTTGAACAAGTTCTACACGCAACCTATGAAGACAGGGAAGTCATCAGGAAAATGATATACTAGTAATAGGAAAGGAGGTACTCAAAACAAGCAGGCTGTAAATTGGGCTTTGCCAGAAAGAGATACTTAGTATTTAGCGCAGCCAGGACAAAAAGGGGTAGCCTGGTGGCAGCTTCAGGCTGTGTGCCATGTTACTACTAAGTCCTTAAGTTTCATCTAACTCACAGCAGGGAGGAAAAAAGGTCATAAAAAATGTTAAGTCAAGTAATACAAATAAACTGCCAACTTATATCAGACTGAATTTGCTGCTACATACTGTGAATACCCCTAACAGTCTAGAAGCCAACCAACAGAACCTATTAATGAGAAAAATACATGTTACTCTGCAACCACAGTTAAAAGTTCTCTTCTCCAGCCCCTTTTAAAAGCTTGACTACAAAAACAACATGCAGAGATGTTTTTATGCCTTGTTATAAAAGTTATGCAATTTATGCATTTAAATATATCTGAACCATATTCTTGGATCAGGCCAGATTGGACCCTTATTGACTTATCCCATTCCTAACCTCTGTCATTTTTGTTTTGCCAGGCACAATGTTTAAGCCTATAATTCTAGCACTCAAGAGGCAGAAACAGGAGGATCATCACAAATTTAAAGTCAGCTAAGGCACACAGTAAGATACTGTCTATAGTTGGGCGGTGGTGGTGCACGCACGCCTTTAATCGCAGCACTAGGGAGGCAGAGGCAGGCAGATCTCTGTGAGTTCGAGACGAGCCTGGTCTACAAGAGCTCCGGGACAGGCTCCAAAACCACAGAGAAACCCTGTCTCGAAAAACAAACAAAAAAAAAAAAAAAAAAGATTTATTTTTTAATACCAGGTAGTTTCCAGTGTTAACATATACTTCAAGCCAATCTCCAGTAACTTTGACATGTTTATCCCACTGCCTGACAACAAATGGAACTGAGAGTGACAGCAGGCACTATAAAGGCCTCCTACCTAAATGCTTCATGTTTCAAGTCCTTGTCTTCCTCTAAGTAGAAGCAGAATAAAGCATCATTTTGGATACAATTTAACCACAATCATCGATATGTTATTTTATAGGTTAAATCCTCAAAACTCCAATTAAATGTAACATCCAATTATTTTACAGTTCTTAAGTAATTCAAGTAATTGTGGACATTCTCTAAAGTTCTATTCCAGCCCTCTCTAAATTCAGGGGACATTTCTGCCCTCAAACTTTGAACTGGATCTATGCAAATGGTTCTAAAATCCCTATCACCCCTTCCACTAGATTGTCTCAATTGGAAAGATCTCATAAAAGCCTGCACCTTTAATCCCAGCACTGGGAAAGCAGAAACAGACAGATCTCTGAGTTCCAGGCCAAGCTGGTCTACAGAGTGAGTTCAAGGCTAACCAGGACTACACTGTGAGAACCTGCCTCAAAAAAAAAAAAAAAAAAAAAAAAAAAAAAAAAAAAAACTTACATGGGACTTCATCTCCTCTCCTCACATCCTAAACAATCCTTCTCCAAGAGCTGTTCGATTCTACGGCTTCATCTCCAGTATTCCACCTCAGCAGGCTTTTCTTTCTCATTTGTACATTTATTTTCCTACTTCACTCTGTAGTACCAAGTTGACCTCTGAGCCTATTTCTCTTAAACTTTGTTTTACTCCATGTTCTATGGTCTTAGGTTTTTGTTTGGTTGGTTGGTTTTGTGAGACAGAGCCTCACTATGTAGTCCTGGCTGGCCTGAAACTTATAGATCTGCTAGCCTCTGCTTCCTGAGTGCAGAGAGTGAAGACATGAGCCACTTCCCACCTTTATTTGCTTGTTTTTTAACCAAGTGACTTTCTTCCTTCAAACCTGTAGCACTAACCTACATACAACCTACTGTATTAAAATAACTTCCCTCAGTTTGAACTTTCAGAGCAATCCAGGATTTGGTCCCACACTAGGTATCAAACCTATCTCATAGCTACCTACAAATCTTCATCCCCTAGCACCACGCCAGACAACTTAGCACACCTGCATGCCATGCAGCAGCATATACTGCTGCTTCTGTCTCCCTTCCCTAAACTTGGATGTCCTGCTTTAGGTGAATTTTAATTCTTCAAAACATAGAGTCTTATCTTAATAATAATAATAAAAGACTTTGCTCATATAGCCTACCTACATGGACCATGTCATTATCTGGCTTCCTTCTATGTTCAAACTAGCTTCACAGACCCCCAAGTTAACTGATCTCTAATTGTTTCATATGGATGCTGTACAAAGCGATCTTTGTTTTCACATAATTACAAATCATAAACTGACTTCCAAATCTAAATCTCCCACATTTGTCCTCTTTCAGGACAAGCTTCAGGATCACACATTCAGCCAACTGTGCCCCTTGAATGGCTAATGGGAATCTCAGATTTAACATGTCCAAACACAACTTTTATCAATGAAATGCAATTAACCTCTCTAGTCTTCTAATTTTAGCCTCATTATACATGCAGTTTCTAAGGCCAAAAATCTACATATGATTCTTTTCTTTTTCCTTCACATTCTTAAAGTCTATAAGGACCATGTAAGGGTGTTAGGCCCAAAATGTAACCCAAATCCAACTACTCCTCTTCATTATCACCCAGTCAGGTTGTAGTCATCATTCCTAACAGTCTCTCCTACCCATCACTCTATTTCTACAGTCTCCCTTACACTCTTGAAAGTGCCTAGTACAACCTACTCAGAGCTAAAACCACATCATACAATTCTCCAGCATAAAACTCTCCAATAAGTTCCTATTGCATTAGGATTAATAAAGTAACAGACTCATCATGGCCTAGAGAACCCTAAAAGACCTGTCCCAATCCTATCTTTCTGACCCCAAGTTCTGCTACTTGACCAATTCCCCACAATGCTTCAGCACCACTGGCTTTACTTCTATCTTTTAAGATGTATTAAAGGGCTTCTCCACTAGCTGTTGCTCCAGCCTTACTCCTTATTCATAGAACCCTTCATGTAACTGCCTTCCTTTTCATTTTTATAATTTCTGGTCAAATCTCATTCTTCCTGGAGGACTCAATCACCACAGTCACACTCTATCCTATCACCCAGTCTTATAGGATAGACAGATGGATAAGCTGCCCTTCCAAGAGGATAAAACTTTACTTATTAGCATTTTCCCATACAATTTGCCTGCTACAATCTTGAGCACGTAAGAACTCTAATACTTAGTGGGCAATTTATAAGAAGCATTATGTGCAAAAATAATATAAAGTTTTCTAAAGCCAGAATCAAATCCAGAGAATCTGCAAAAAGGTTGCAAGCATCAGGACTTCTACTTAGTATAAATTCAGAATATGACTGTTGACTTGCAAGTTCTCCTGAGTTAATAAAACATGTATTTCTATAGCAACCACTTAAATTTCATTAAAGTAACAACCTCTAGGCAAGTGACTAATGACAAAAACTTCCATAACATTCTTACTTGATGTTATAACGTCCAGTTTTCAGTGTACATCTATCAGGAAGTTGTGCAAGTTTCCTGGAGAGCATCTTAAAGTACTTTCTGCATTCCTGCACTCCTGTGCCCTGCTCATAATCAGTAGATGCAGACAGTGGCAGGCCATCTCTGACACGAATGACGGAGGCAGATAAAATCATAGACATTTCAATCCACAGAAGACCTAAAATAAAATGAAAAATAAAAATCAAGGCCAACAAAACACTTATAAAACTTTCTAAATTAGTCATAATAGTACTTTTACAAAACTTCCTAAATTAGTAGTAATGAGAGTATTAATAAAAATAATGATACAATATATTTCAACAACCTTTTACTTTAACAAGCTTTTTAAAAATATATATAGTATGTATATGAATATTTGCCTACACATGTGTTATGTGAACTATGTGCATGTCTGGTTCCCTTAGAAAACAGAAAGGGCATTGGATATGTTGGAACTGGAGTTACAAATAGTTGTGAGCAGCTACATGGGTACTGGGATCTTCTGTAAGAACAACAAGTGCTCTTAACCACTGAGCCATCTTGCCAGGCCCCAAACAAGCTTTTGAAAATAACGTTTTCACACTGGGGAGATTGCTGAGTGGGTAATACTTGTAGGACAAGCCATCTGATGACATGAGTTTGGCTTCCAGAAAACATGAAAAATCAAGACATGGTTATAAGAGTAAATACCTATAAACCCTGAGGGCTGCTACAGGTAAATGGGAGGTGGAGACAGAAGAGTTCCCAGAAGCTCTGAAGCCAGCTAGCCTAGTATATACAGCAGTGAACAAGAGACCGTCTCAAGGTGGGAATGCAAGAACCAATACCTTAAGTCAGTGATTTCCAACCTTCCTAATGCTATGACCCTTTAATACAGTTCCTCATATGGTGACCCCAAACATAAATTATTTTCATTGCTACTTCATAACGGTAATTTTGGTATTGTTATGAATTGTAATGTAATATCTGTGTTTTCTGGCGGTCTTAGGCAACCTCTGTGAACGGGTTCTTTGATCCCCACAGGTTGTGAACCATTGCCTTAGGTTATCCTTTGACCTCCACACATACACTGTGACACACACATGCTCACCCCTACTGGTCAGTGTTCATAGTGCTAGAAAGTGCTATAAAGACTACTGGAGAAAGGTAATAGAAAATTTCACCTAGCTATGAATCTTGCAAACTCTAATAATGATCTGCCTACAGGTTATGACCAGAAGAGGGGCAACAGTGGCAGAATATTATGGAAGTAATCAATCTTTTTTTAATTGAATTTAAGGTCCACTCCATGAAATGGAACCTATCTGACAGTGTTAATGAGGACAAGACCCTGAGACAGATAGGTCATGAGGCCTATGGGAAAACCTACTATTATTATTCTGTTAAATGGATACTGAAGTAAAACAACCTCTATACCCATAAAGTGCACCATTCAACCCCCATCAGAGAAGCTGCTTCTTAGAGTAAATGACAACGTGTAGAAAATGAGAAGCTTTGATGCACTCAAACCTAAATGGGAGCCATTTGTTGTAGTCATAGACTGCTTGTTCATTCCTGGTCACCCAGACCCGAAATAATTACACAGAAACAATATTAATTACAACCCTAGCCAATAGCTTAGGCATATTTCTAGCTAACTCTTATATCTTAAATTAATCCATTTCTATTAATTTATGTATCACCATGAGGCTCATGGTTTACCAGTAAGGTTCTCCAGTGTCTGTCTCCTTAGATAGCTACATGGTGTCTTTCCAACTCCACCTTCTTTTCTCCTCTATCTCTGCTTGGAATTCCCACCTTGCTCTATTCTGCCCTGCCTGCCATAGGCCCAAGCAGCTTCTTTATTCACTAACCAATAAAGGCAACACATATACAGAAGGACTTCCCACATTGTTACCTGTTCCCTCAAAGCTCAGGGATCTATGTAGGAGAGGATGGGGGTGGAGGATGACTTCAAGGAACAGATGCAACAAGGGAAATGTACATATGGAGCTCAAAAAGGCTGTGATAGCATACACAAGAAGTGCACAAACTCAAGCCAGACAAAATCCAGCCAAGAAGCTAACAGCAATCAATAGTTGCTAGTAGAAGAAGATTAATCTAGTTATCTTCAATGGGGGTGACACTGAGCATATTATCAACCACACTCCAGGCAAGCCCCATGCTCAAGAACACAAATGGGAGTCCTTGTTTTTTTTTTTTATGTTGTTTTGGTTTTAGTGGGCCTTTTGTCTTTTGAGAAACTCAGTGTGATGGTGCACACCATTAATCCCAACACTCAGGAGGCAGAGGCAGGCAGATCTCTGAATGTAAGGCCAGCCTGAACTACAGATCAAGTTCTAGGACAGTCAGGGATCCACAGAGAAACCCTTGACAAGAGAGACAGAGAACATGAAGTTGGGAGGGTGAGGAAGTGGAGGAGGACCTAGGAAAAGGGAGAGAAGCAGGGAAAGAATATGGTCAAAATATTTTGCATGAAATTCTCACAGAATAAATTCAAAATAAAATAAATTTGTTACAAAAATAAAAGAATTAATAGTAATTACAGGTGACTGATTTAGAGACTTGTTTTGCTACACAGCCTTGGCTGACCTGGAACTCACAATGTAGCCCAGGCTGAATCAAACCCACAACAGGTCTCCTGACTCAGCCTCCTAGATACTGAGTTTACAGGTGTGCACCACTATGCTCAGTAGAAAATTTAACCTTACCCCAAGGAAAATAATCATATAGTCAGATAAAAATGTAAATGGATACCCTTACAATCAAATAATTTAAAATAATCTAAAAATCCAATATAGAATGACAACTAAGTAAATAAATTATAGTATACCCATATGACAGAATACAACAATATAAAGCTTTCTAAAAATAAAAGTTTAACAATGTGTTAAATCCTGATGTGATGAGCTAAAAAAAAAATAAGCTAAAACTTATTTTACCAAGTGACACATAACTACAATCTTAACACTTAGGAAGGCAGAAAAAGAAGGATCGTGAGTTGGAGGGCAGATTGGGTTATATCACAAAGGTCCTGTGCTGTGGGACAATGGTCTGTACCCTGTCACTTGTATTATTTTTAATAAAATGCTGATTGGCCAGTAGCCAGGCAGGAAGTATAGGTGGGGTGATGGCAACCAGGCAAGATGTAGAGGCATGGCAATAGGAATTCTGGGAAGAGGAAAGTTTCAGTCTGCAGTCGTCACCCAGACACAGAGAAAGCCAGACACAGAACAAGCAAAATGTGACTGCCTCGCCGAAGAAAGGTACCAAGCCACGTGGCTAATATAGACAAGAATTATGGGCTAATATCAGTTATAAGAGTTAATAAGAAACCTGAGCTACTAGATGAACCAGGTTTATAATCAATGTAGACCTCTGTGTGTTTTCTTTGGGACTGAATGACTGAGGAACTGGGTGGGACAGAAACCTTGGTCAACAGTCCTGTCTTAAAAACCTTTTTCAGACAAACATATATTCAGAGATTCCTAATAAACCAAATAAATAGATTTCTAGTAAACAGATGTAGAACACAGCTGTCAAGGCCCTAAAAGGTTGTCAGAGGGCTGTTTTTATTTATCAGTAGATAAAAACTGTTTTCTATGGAGAAAAAGTTAACCCCTCTCTCCCAGCCCAGAGAGATTTTTATCATCCAAACCAATTAAAGAGAAAAAAGATCAATACCACCACCACCACCACCACCACCACCAAGAAACAGCTAGGATAAATATCCAATGAACAACAAAACTTTAACTAATTTATAGACAGACTCTAATCACCTTAGGATAAATGGTCTCTTTCAACTTAAAAATCATACTACCCTTTTTTTTTTTTTTTTTTT